TCTGCCCCCTCCACAGCCCAGCACTCCAATGAGAGCTGCTTAGAGTGGGAAGGAGAACTGAGCAATCAATGGTGTCTGATCATTCAGTTCTCACCCTTAGAACTGGAGGGGGACAGATGCAGCATCGGATCGATGCTGCATCCACCTAGGTACAGTAAGTAGGATATTAAAAAAAAAAAAATATTCCCATACTTCTCTTTTAACATTCCCAAAAATAGGTATCAATCTAATTAGATGCTTTAAAGCGGAGATCCACTCAAAAGCGTAAGCTTCGTTTATTTGCCTCCTCCTCTGCCATATTTAGCACCTTTTGGGGGAGAGGGGGGAGCGGATACCTGTTTTTGACAGGTACCTCGCTCCCACTTCAGGTACCACGGATGAAACACAGAGCTGTATACTGTATATAGCAAAAGTTTATAGAGCACAGTTTATTAGTAATGTAAAGATCGGCTCCAAACAAACTATATTAAGTGAAATGAGTTATAGTAGCTTGGTGTTAAATAGGGACAGATTAATGCATCTCAGAAAACAATAAGTACAGTGTAACTTTGTAATCAGTTCAGTATTTCACCCTTGGATGTAACACCTGGATGTGACCATTCTTTCCTTTCTTTCTAAAAAAGCAGTGTCCTCCTTTTATCTGTCTGGCAGACAAACCTCTTAATTCATGCGTTTTTCCCACTCATCAAGTTTTCCTTGCAGTCTAACTATACTACAGTACATTTCTGTGATTTACTGTATGTGAAATTCCCTGCAAGTAGCAAGCTCCTGCTGTGTAAATAGAGAGCATTCTTCCATATTTCATCTACTACAGTACACGTTCCCCATGTTATCACAAGGAAATGTATTTTACTTATAATGCTCAGAGACATTCAGCTTCCAGACTGTCCCAGAAAGAAACAGCTGTTTCAGAACCATTCATATGAATATTTTAAATGTGTTAAATAATATGGAAAATGCTGGTGTAAATATTGCAGATGCAACCACAAAGGATGCACAGGTTTCTGAATGGGAATTCACTCATCATCATGAGTCTGGGATCACAGTCTCAGAAGGAGCTTGCAGTTGAAGTGTTGTGTGTCAAAACACATAGGCATTCTAATCTGCATATTATTGAGCTGATACTAAGATCAAACGGTGAAAAGCATGCTAATCTTTTGCATTCAAACTGATTCAGAAGAGATGCACCAGGCCGCCCTGATAGCTAAATCCTTATTGATGCTGATGTTCTCATCTGGTCCTTTAAAAAAAGGTAGGCCAGGGTGTTACATGTTTAATCTAAAAGGTCCATAAAGCACTTAGGAGTGCTCACATAGATGTACAATTGCTGCACCATAAATTGTAAATCCATACAAACAATTATTGGTAAAACCAGAATTTCAGTATACAACACAGGAATCAAAAAGGTAAAAGCACACACTGCACCTTTAGGTGTGCTGATGTAGTCAGACAGGACGCCACAGGCAGTTGCTTAAATAGACATCCAAAAAGCAATGCCTACATATCCCAAGACTGAAATGATGACAGGCCGGTGCTAAGGTGGAAAGAGTAGTGCCTGCTTATGATAGTACCTGTACAGAGTGGCATAAAGTTAGGTACAGCCGGTGGTTATTGGAACGCACGCCGGCTCCAGAGAGAGGAGTAGCGGTTAGTGCAGTACAGCTGAATGTATTAGTGCCGAGGACTTTGAACTAACAAATGTGAGTGCACCCTTGATGTTTATATGGAAATAAATTTTTCACAAACCTACTACACTATATGAGTTTTCTTTTCTGACCTATGTGGATCTGAAACCGCGTATTTAATGGGAAAATATAGAGAAGAAATCTACTGTGATTATGAACCCTGGTGACATAAAGCACAATTGACCTTTCCTTTAAATAAGGGGTCATGGAGGGTTGGTGAGTGAAATACAGTATATTGGCACATGGTGGTGGAGCACTAAGAGGTTTTGCACGAAGATATATATCAAGCACTAAAAGAAAATATTTTTGGCACAAAATGTGGAGTGGGACTTTCAAACCTTTGCTATCTTTCACACACACATATATATATATATATATATATATATATATATATATATAAAAATATATATATACTTTTTTTTTCTTTGGTGAAATTCAACTATTGGGTTAACATATATTTATGTGAAGCACCAGACCTTCATTCACCTACATGAACTTTAATGGCATCCCAGTCTTAGTCTGTAGGGGTCAATGTTTGTGTTGGCCCACCCTTTGCAGTTATAATAGCTTCAACTCTTCTGGGAAAGTTGTCCACAAGGTTTAGGAGTGTGTCTATGGGAATGTTTGACCATTCTTCCAGAAGCACATTTGTGAGGTCCATTCGAATTCATCCCACCCCCCGATAGGGGTTGAGGTCAGGACTCAGTGTAGGCCAGTCAAGTTCCTCCACCCCAAACTCATTCATCCATGTCTTTATGGACCTTGCTTTGTGCACTGGTCCATGACATTGTCCAAAATATCTTGGTATGCTGACACCTTAAGAGTTCCCTTCACTGGAACTAAGGGACCAAGACAAACCCCTGAGAAACAACCCCACACCATGACCCCCCCCCCCCCCCCCATCAAACTTTACACTTGGCAAAATGCAGTCAGGCAAGTACCGTTCCCCTGGCAACCGCCAGACACGTCCATCAGGTTGCCAGACAGAGAAGCGTGATTCTTCACTCCAGAGAACACATCTCCACTGCTCTAAAGTCCAGCGGCGGCGTGCTTTACACCACTGCATCTGATGCTTTGCATTGCACTTGGTGATGTAAGGTTTGGATGCAGCTGCTCAGCCATGGAAACCCATTCTATGAAGCTCTCTATGTTTTGTTACTGTGCTAATTTGAAGACCACATGAAGTTTGGAGGTCTTTAGCTATTGACTCTGCAGACAGTTGTTGACTCCTATGCACTGTGCGCTTCAGCATGCTCTGACCCCACTCTGTCATTTTACGTGACTTACCAATTCGTGGCTGAGTTGCTGTTGTTCCCAGATGCTTCTACTTTATTATAATACTGCTAACAGTTGACCGTGGAATATTTAGTAGCAAGGGAATTTTACAGACAGACTTGTTGCACAGGTGGCAACCTATCACGATACCATGCTTGAATTCACTGAGCTCCTGAGAACGACCCATTCTTTCACTAATGTTTGTAGAAGCAGTCTACAGGCCTAGGTGCTTGATTTTATAGACCTGTGGCCATGGAGGTGATTGGAACACCTGAATCCAATTATTTGGAGGGGTGTCCCAATACTTTTGGCAATACAGTGTATCTTGCTTTTGCAGTTTTTTGATACTCTAACCTACTACTCTCCTTCAAAGCTGAACTACAAGCACCCTCAAAAACACAGGTCATAGGATAGGAATAGAGTGTTGTTTAAAGGTTGAAGTGCCCTGGTAAAGTTTATGTTTCATAATATATGTCAGGGCTCCAGGGTATGACCAGAGGTATGTGAACTGACGCAGGGAAACGCAGGCTTCAGATATGTTATAAACAATATAATTTATTAACACTAACAATACATAAACGCAGTGCAATACTAAAACATAACACAGTGCAAACGAACCAAACCACCCACAGATAAACAATACATACAATGCAAGCGTCGTCAGGCAGGTCGGGTCAATAACAATTGGGCAGGTAGGAACAGGAGGAGCAGGCAGAGAGTAGTCAGGTCACGAGCCGGGTACAGCAACTAACGGGCAGGTAGGTACAGGGGGTCAGGCAGAGAATGGTCGGGGTCACAAGCCAGGGATCAAACAGGAGAAGTCAGCAGAGGTCCGGATCAGGCAGGGTCAGCAACGAATCAGTCAGACAGGAACAGGAACAGGGATGCAGGTAACAAGATACAGGGGCCCATAGAAAAGCACACACCAAGGCACAGACTGCAGGTCTGGCCATCCCTTAAATACACCTGCATAATCAGCTTCAGGTGTTTGGCTGACTACAGGGTTGAGTCTCTGATTGCTGAGAGCACCCGCTGGCCAGCCCTGGTACTGCAGCCCACAAGGCAGGTGAGTCCCACCATTACTGGCAAGTCCATTCCTGACAGTACCCCCCCCCCCTCAAGGAGCGGCCTCAGGACGCTCCAAACAGTCCTAGCTGGGCAAAATGTCCCACTGCCCGGGTCTGGTAACTGGTGGGATATCAAAGACTGGCACATTGGGCTGGACTCCGGGCAGCGGCACATCGGGCTGGACTCCGGGCAGAGGCACATCGGGCTGGACTCCGGGCAGAGGCACAGGGCCCCCAGGAGGAGCGGCAGGCACAGGGCCCCCAGGAGGAGCGGCGGGCACAGGGCCCCCAGGAGGAGTGGCGGGCGCCGGGCCCCCAGGCGGAGTGGCGGGCGCCGGGCCCCCAGGCAGGGCGGCGGGCACCGGGCCCCAAGATGGAGCGGCGGGCACCGGGCCCCCAGGCGGGGCGGCAGGCATTGGGCCCCCAGGAGGGGCGGCAGGCACCGGGCCCCCAGGCGGAGCGACAGGTCTTGGGCCCCCAGGAGGAGCGGCAGGCACCGGGTCATCAGGCACGACAGCGGGCATCGGGTCACCAGGCATCAGGTCATTTGGCTCGCCAGTGGGCACCGCGTCATCTGGCAAGGCAGTGGGCACCGAGTCACCAGGCACGACAGTGGGCTCCGAGTCAACTGGCATGACCGCGGGCACTGGGTCAGACATTGGATCATCTGGCTGGACAGTGGGCATCGGGTCACCAGGCATGACCGCGGGCACTGGGTCATCAGGCATTGGATCGTCTGGCTCGACAGCGGGCATCGGGTCACCAGGCATGACAGCGGGCACTGGGTCATCAGGCATTGGATTGTCTGGCTCGACAGCGGGCATCGGGTCACCAGGTATGACAGCGGGCACTGGGTCACCAGGCATCAGGTCATTTGGCTCGCCAGCGGGCACTGCGTCATCTAGCAAGGCAGTGGGCACCGAGTCACCAGGCACGACAGTGGGCTCCGAGTCACCAGGCATGACCGCGGGCACTGGGTCAGACATTGGATAATCTGGCTCGACAGCGGGCATCGGGTCACCAGGCATCAGGTCATTTGGTTCGACAGCGGGCACCGCGTCATCTGGCAAGGCAGTGGGCACCGAGTCACCAGGCACAACAGTGGGCTCTGAGTCAATTGGCACGACAGCGGGCACCGGGTCATCAGGTACCGGATCGTCTGGCTCGACAGCAGGCACCGGGTCATCTGGCGCTGGATCGTCTGGCTCGACAGCGGGCATCAGGTCACCAGGCATGACAACGGGCACTGAGTCATCAGGCATTGGATCGTCTGGCTCGACAGCGGGCATCGGGTCATCAGGTACCGAATCGTCTGGATCGACAGCGGGCACCGGGTCATCTGGCGTTGGATCGTCTGGCTCGACAGCGGGCATCGGGTCACCAGGCACGACAGCAGGCACTGGGTCATCAGGTACCAGATCGTCTGGATCGACAGCGGGCACTGGGTCATCTGGCGCTGGATCGTCTGGCTCGACAGCGGGCATCGGGTCACCAGGCATGAAAGCGGGCACTGGGTCATCAGGCATTGGATCGTCTGGCTCGACAGCGGGCATCGGGTCACCAGGTATGACAGTGGGCACTGGGTCATCAGGCATTTGATCGTCTGGCTCGACAGCGGGCATCGGGGCACCAGGCATGACAGCGGGCACCGGGTCATCAGGTACCGGATCGTCTGGCTCGACAGCGGGCATCGGGTCACCAGGTATGACAGCGGGCACCGGGTCATCAGGTACCGGATCGTCTGGCTCCACAGTGGGCATCGGGTCACCAGGCATGACAGCGGGCACTGGGTCATCAGGCATTGGATCGTCTGGCTCGACAGCGGGCATCGGGTCACCAGGTATGACAGCGGGCACTGGGTCATCAGGCGTGATAGGATCATCAGGCTGGATCAGTTCATCAGGCTGGGTACAGACATCAGGCTGGGTAGAGACATCAGGCTGGGTAGAGACATCAGGCTGAAGTGCGGGTGCCGAGGCACCAGGCTGAACCACGGAAGGCAGGTTCTCAGACGGCAGGCTCACCGGTTTGGATACTGGCAGGATGGTACTGGTTGGAAAGAATTTTCGCTTTTTTCTGGTTTTAACTACTGGAGCACTGCAAGTAAACGCAGGTCTGCAAACGAATGAAGCAGCTGAGGACAGAGAAGAGCTGGAAGATGGAACAGAGGAGGGAGCAGTTGCTACAGAGGACTTCTTTACAGGGTTAAAGAAAGGATAGGTGCAGCGAGTGGGAGCAGAGGACTGGTATGTGGTAGTTAGAGTATACTGGGCAGTCACTGGGAGTGCTGTCGGGGATGCAGGAAGAGTGCCTTGAGTGGAGGAATGATGTTGTAAGCTGACTGAGGCTGGGTGCAACAAGTCTGACCATGTCTGCAGTATGGGTTGAACAAAGCTCCGCTTACACAAAGCCTGTCTGGTCAAAGACTGCACTGCGTTTATACAATCTCTTAGTACCTGTGGTGAACATGCAGAATAACGCTCCAGAAAGTAATCCACATCATCCTCTAATAACCATACCAGGGACTCTACCTGGTCGGCACTAAATGGCGGCAAAAATTCATCCCTGCATTCGGGGGGGTACCAGATGAAACCAACTCAGCACAAACCTGAATCAATGGCTGCACCTCAGAGAATTCTGTGCCCTGATCTACTAGGCAATGAGCAATCCGTATACATTCTAGTAATTGATCCCTGGGATACTCCTTCAGAGTCTGATAAGCATATTCTCTGTCATCAAACACTAGCAGAGATAAATACACAACCTCATCAAGATCCATCCTTCCCAGCAACAATAAGCCAAGATGGCTTCCCTGTGCAGCCACTTCTGGTCAGGATTGGCCTTGGTGTAATGTCAGGGCTCCAGGGTATGACCAGAGGTATGTGAACTGACGCAGGGAAACGCAGGCTTCAGATATGTTATAAACAATATAATTTATTAACACTAACAATACATAAACGCAGTGCAATACTAAAACATAACACAGTGCAAACGAACCAAACCACCCACAGATAACAATACATACAATGCAAGCGTCGTCAGGCAGGCCGGGTCAATAACAATCGGGCAGGTAGGAACAGGAGGAGCAGGCAGAGAGTAGTCAGGTCACGAGCCGGGTACAGCAACTAACGGGCAGGTAGGTACAGGGGGTCAGGCAGAGAATGGTCGGGGTCACAAGCCAGGGATCAAACAGGAGAAGTCAGCAGAGGTCCGGATCAGGCAGGGTCAGCAACGAATCAGTCAGACAGGACAGGGACAGGAACAGGGATGCAGGTAACAAGATACAGGGGCCCATAGAAAAGCACACACCAAGGCACAGACTGCAGGTCTGGCCATCCCTTAAATACACCTGCATAATCAGCTTCAGGTGTTTGGCTGACTACAGGGTTGAGTCTCTGATTGCTGAGAGCACCCGCTGGCCAGCCCTGGTACTGCAGCCCACAAGGCAGGTGAGTCCCACCATTACTGGCAAGTCCATTCCTGACAATATATGGGATGGTCAGAGACTTCAGAGATGATACAAGGGATTGTCAGAGACTGCAGACATGGTACAGGAAATGTTTGGAGACTGCAGACATGATACAAGAGATGGTCGGGACTGCAAACATGTTGCAGGAGATAGTCAGAGACTCTAAACATGCTATAAGGCTTCTTGCACACTGGAAAATGCTGAGTTTTTTTACTGATCTGAAATTAGATGCTTTGTTGTCTACGGGACAATGTACACAGTTGAGAAAGGATCAGTACTACAGCATTGAGTATAGAGCCATAAAAAAAATAAAAATAAAATTTCATTTGAGTGCACTAATTTACTCGCATACGTGTGTTTAGTCGTCTATAAGCATGTTTATGAGAGTATAAGGCCTCTTGCACATGGTTGTTGTGTGAGCATCAACATTTCTGGACGTAAATTTAGTTATTCGTTCATAATTATGGGCGTATTCAAGCGTACAATACACTCCTATGCAAATCCATTAGTGCTTATGCTCATATGCACGTATTGGCGCAAAATACTAACCAGGAATGCAGATTTTCAGATTTTTTTTTTCTAAACTCAAGAATACAAAGCGCTCCTTTACATGTCTGTGTGTACAGGCACATTTTAAACAATGGGCTGCATTTTAGATCTGTAAAAAAAACAGCTGTACTGAGCTTTTTTAAGCAAGAGGCCTAAGAGCAAATTTACATACAGTATATGCCAACTGGATGTGTTTTGCATTGCATCCAATTTGCATGACATGTGAAATAACATTGGCTTCTATTGTGCCTGTTCACATACATGTGGTGCAATCAGAGTGAGGATTCAGTGTGAATTGAAAAAGAGTCCTGCCATTTTTCTGAGCAGTGCAGTCCAGTTCAGGTGCAAATTCAGGCTCATTGACTTCTATGGGAACGCTTTTGAAATGCACATGTCATCAGTTGTGAACATGAAAAAAACCTGACCTGATCCTGATCTAAAAATATCCTAATGCTGATCTAAACTGGACCTGAACCGCTGAACAACTACTTTGTCAATTAGCTGTGAAAACAGAGTTTCAATTCACATCACCTATCCACACTTAAAGTGAAATTAAATGCATATAATTTTTTTTTTTTAAATAAACACATCATACTTACCTGCTCTTTGCAGTAGTTTTGCACAGAGCAGCCCGCATCCTCCTCTTCTTGGGTCCCCCGTTGGCACTCCTGGCCCCTCCCTCCTGTTGGGTGCTCCCACAGCAAGCAGCTTTCTATGGGAGCACCCACTACTCCATGTGTCCATTCACACAGAGAGCCATGGCTTGACCCCGCCCCCTCACTCTTCTCCTTAGCTCACTGGCTGTGATTGGCCAATGGCTGTGATTGGCCAATGAGGAGGGGGATTGCCGAGACTCCAGTGCACATCGCTGGATTGAGAGGGGGCTTAGGTGACTACTGGGGGGGGGGGCTGCTGCATAAAGAATGTTTTTTGCCTTCATGCATTGAATGCATGAAGGTAAAAAACCTTGAGCCTTTACAACCACTTTAATGAGTATATTACAATACTGGCAATGAAGAAGAATTTTACTCGTCTATACACCTATGCACCTTTACTCTCCTATACTCAACATCACTCAGGTCTTTACACACATTTTTTTTACTCAGGAACTTTTTGCCAACAAGTAAACTTCAGTAAATTATGATGCCTGTGTGCAAGGAGCCTAAGGGTTGTTGGACACTGGGGACTTGCTTCAGGAGAGAGTCATAGACTGGAGACATATTACATGAGACTGCTAGAAAACACTGTTATAATAGGGAAACACAGATTAGTGTCTGCAGGAGCTCTGAGGGCCAAAGAGCCACAGATTGGACACCAGAGGCCTAGAATTTTTGTAATTGCTAGTAAAGTAGATAGACTGTTCAATTGGTAAGGAAACTTGTACTTTGGTTTGGATTTTACCCAGAGCTTAGTGAATGAGGTGAAGCTCTGTTGACTTCCATTGTCCAATCATTTACATGCAAAACCTTTTTTTTTTCTTTTTTCTTTGCATGTCACTAGGTATTTTTTTGCAAACATACTATTTGCCCTTCAGTAATATTGTGTCAATCAATAGGCAGACGTCGCAATAGGTGGCACAGTTGCAATGTAGAAGTTTCAAGGGGAAGATCATTAACAAGACTGAACATGCCTTAGGGCAGCGTGCGCTTACACATTACAGTCTGACTGTACAATCTTTGTACCAATCAACTTTAGTTTACAAAATTAATTTATACGAGGATTTAACTAATCTATCCACTTAGGCAGGCCCTTGAACTACATTGTTTAATCTAATGAAAATTGTACAATTTGATTGTAATGTGTATCTGGTGAGCCTTGGTGGCTGCAAGCACAATCCATTCCATGAGCTGACAGGAAACATCAGGGCGGCTCCTGCACTAGGATTTCCTAAATGCAGCTTATCAGCTTTCATTGGTGCTTGTGATTTTGACTGCCACTTTTTCATTTTTGCCTGGACTTCAGCTTTATATAAGGACCAAATACACATCACACAAATGTCTTTTTTCCAATTATGTTCAGAGATCCAGGATATCTACAATAAATACAAGATACAACATCTTATTAAACATGTATATCTTGATTATAATTCGTCTCAGCATGTTTGTTGCAGAGAGCTTTGACAAGAAGAAATAAACATAAAAAAAAAATTAAACATTGCAGGGGAATCAATTACAGCAGCCGTAGTAGATAATAGATGTTTGCATTGTCTATTCTTCTGCCATTTGGCTGCCTCCATATATAGATTATAAATTACTCAACAAACTGTGCCTGGAAATTATGTTAATTGTAGTTATTTAGTTGACAGCATGTGGTTAAGAAAGTAAAATAAAGCACAGAATGGAAAAGGCATAATTAAGTTATTATTGGTTCCGTTCCCAAACCTTACACTGTATGTAAAGTGTTCTCAGTGAAGAGGCCGTGTAGTCAAGATTATTCACATTTAAGAGATTTCCATATTGATATCATGGATCTCACCATAAAAGCCTAAAAAAGGAAATAATGGTTCATGGCCATGAGATATTGTGCCATTGTGAGATTGGGAAACAGATCTCATTGTTTGAACACTGTTTGTGTAGAAGTAAATTAATGTTTTGACTGACATTCTGCGGTTTAGCCACACGATGTCACTGTTTTTCTAACACAGGCTCAGACTGCATAGATATTTGTATATTCATGAAGAGGTGGGGTTTTGCACTCAGAGTTGGAGTTTAGTGAACAGGAAGAGGAGACTGCAGCCATGTTTTGGATGATGCTGAATGAAGGGGCTGAATGTGAGCTGAGAATCCGATGACATCCAGATGTGAATGCATTCCTCAGTAATCAAAGCTGCAGCTGAGTGAAGCTGATGAGATTGCTGCCAGGAAGCTGATGAGATTGCTGCCAGGAATGCTGATGAGATTGCTGCAAGGAAGCTGATGAGATTTCTGCCAGGAATGCTGATGAGATTGCTGCCAGGAAGGCTGATGAGAGCAGAGGAACTAAGCAACATATACGGCGAGATCGGTAAGATCATGCACGCACCTTATTTCAGTGTTGGCGCCTTGAGACTGAGTCCAGGCCTATAGTTAGGGTCTCTGTTTGTGTCAGGCCACAAGTGTTGTTACTGATTATTGGAAAGAC